GGCACACTCCTGCTCCAAGAAAGAAGCCAAAGACCATATGAATTATGGCATAACAAAGGGTGGGGTATAGGGAATTAAATATTATTCTCTGCAAATCAGAGGCCTCCTCCAAGGTAGGTTGATAGCACCATTGTTTTATAGCAAGGAGCATTCTAACAGAGGTGCAGATCATTTTGTTAGAAAAAACAGAACCTAAAGAAAGATGGCCATTCTGTTATGGTACATGTTCAAGGTGGATGCTATAATGGAATTTGGGAAATGAGGGTTTACAAACTTTGGCCCAATTTGAGCTCAATAGGCACTAGTTTAAGTATGAACTGCACTCGTGTGCTCCAGCAAGGATCATGCTCAAGAAGGTCCAATTTATCTGAGTTCCACAGTGCAGGGAGAATAGGGGAAACTGCATTCTTTCATTCTAATGGATAGTGCATGGGGAGGCAACATTATGTCCCCATGTTCTTCTCTCGGGCATTTTGCTCCCCAATGGCCAAATAGAGGGAATACAGAGACTGCAATTGTACCTAACAGTGCAATAGCATATTCAAAAAGGAGGGAGGGAAAGATTTTTGCACTATCTTACAACTTGCTGCCTGCTCACATACCCACATGAGAGTGAGGCATGATCTGGCCCTGTATGTGTAACCTGTAACTTTAATCACTACAACTCAGACTTTAGATAAAGCTTCAGATTATTCTTTTATAAGTGGAAAGGAGACAAACTGGCTTAAAACTTCAGCTATTCCTTTGAACATACAGTTACCATTTGAAAGCGATGGAGTGATATTGTGGTATGATTCCCTATACTATTGCCATTAAGATGTTGAAATTATTTGCAAGTAATTAGCATAACCCTGATACTTCAAGTATTCCCAATATAATTACCATTAAAATATTGACATTTACCTCTTGAAAGCAATTGATCTTACTATTTGTTATCTCTCCAGTGCCTACTGCAGCTACATATTTTGAAGCTAAAAATTTATTTGAAAGTAGGGCTATATCTTGACCCTAAATATTCAATTTTAGGCCTACATACCCCTATTTCAGATTCTGCTGTCTTCATGCTAGTTAAAATCAATATATTCAAGCTTAAAGGTTAGTCTACCTTTGTGACGGAATAAAAGAAACATATCACCATCCTGAGACGCAACATTGTGGGATGGACACATATCCCACTCATGTCTCCCAACGTAAAAGGTCACAAAGAAAACATTAGCATTCAGAAACATGGCTTTGGATGTTCCCTGAGGAATATGTCTGGCAGCTTGTAACTGAAAATTGCCTCCATCTGTCTTCCAAAGCACAAGAAAATGTAGTGGTATTCCTCAGAAGCATCAAGAGTTACTTTCCCAGCATGAATAAATTCAGAACCACTGCAGAAAACAATTACTCCAGGAAGTCAGTTTTTCTCGTTTATTTTTTGTGACCAAAGTCTTGCACCTCTAGCATAACTATGTATTAGACTAGTTATTCTCTAAAATGTCTAGCTTAAAGAGACTGTTTAGACTGCCAAACGAGGCTTTATCAGCAACATGCACTTAACTCTAGCTCCTCATACACGCTTGGTTGAAAACTAACCATATACTTTGGAAGGTGTATAGTACTAAAGCAAATCTAGTTTTGCCTGATGTTCTCAGACAGTGTATCAGGGGCTGAATAAGTTTCTGATTGTTGCAAAAGTAACTGGATTCTAGGCAGCCTCTGAATGCCTGAAAGACTCCTTTCCCATCTCTGATTGGCCAAGAGACATAGGGGGGGAAAGGCAGTGTAGAAAGAGGAGCAGAAAGGACACAGATGTCACAAAGCTAAGGACACTAAGGGGGAGTGGGAACTGGACTTTAAGCCACCTGTACGTTTTCAGGTCATAGAATATCAGGGTTGGAAGGGAACTCAGGAGGTCATCTAGTCCAACCCCCTGCTCAAAGCAGGACCAATCCCCAATTAAATCATCCCAGCCAGGGCTTTGTCAAGCTTGACCTTAAAAATATCTAAGGAAGGAGATTCCACCACCTCCCTAGGTAACGCATTACAGTGTTTCACCACCCTCCTAGTGAAAGTTTTTCCTAATATCCAACCTAAACCTCCCCCACTGCAACTTGAGACCATTACTCCTTGTTCTGTCATCTGCTACCACTGAGAACAGTCTAGATCCGTCCTCTTTGGAACCCCCTTTCAGGTAGTTGAAAGCAGCTATCAAATCCCCCCTCCTTCTTCTCTTCTGCAGACTAAACAATCCCAGTTCCCTCAGCCTCTCCTCATAAGTCATGTGTTCCAGTCCCCTAATCATTTTTGTTGCCCTCTGCTGGCCGTTTTCAAATTTTTCCACATCCTTCTTGTAGTGTGGGGCCCAAAACTGGACACAGTACTCCAGATGAGGCCTCACCAATGTCCAATAGAGGGAAACAACCACATCCCTCGATCTGCTGACAATGCCCCTACTTATACATCCCAAAATGCCATTGGCCTTCTTGGCAACAACGGCACACTGTTGAGTCATATCCAGCTTCTCGTCCACTGTAACCCCTAGGTCCTTTTGTGCCGAACTGCTGCCGAGCCATTCGGGCCCTAGTCTGTAGCGGTGCATGGGATTCTTCCGTCCTAAGTGCAGGACTCTGCACTGGTCCTTGTTGATTTCTTTTGGCCCAATCCTCTAATTTGTCTAGGGCTCTCTGTATCCTGTCCCTACCCTCCAGCGTATCTATCTCTCCTCCTAGTTTAGTGTCATCTGGAAACTTGCTGAGGGTGCAATCCACACCATCCTGCAGATCATTTATGAAGATATTGAACAAAACTGGCCCGAGGACCGACCCTTGGGGCACTCCACTTGATACCGGCTGCCAACTAGACATGGAGCCATTGATCACTACCCGTTGAGCCCGACAATCTAGCCAACTTTCTATCCACCTTATAGTCTATTCATCCAGCCCATACTACTTTAATTTGCTGGCAAGAATACTGTGGGAGACTGTGTCAAAAGCTTTGCTAAAGTCAAGGAACAACACGTCCACCGCTTTCCCCTCATCCACAGAGCCAGTTATCTCGTCATAGAAGGCAATTAGATTAGTCAGGCATGACTTGCCCTTGGTGAATCCATGCTGACTGTTCGTGATCACTTTCCTCTCCTCTAAGTGCTTCAGAATTGATTCCTTGAGGACCTGCTCCATGATTTTTCCAGGGACTGAGGTGAGGCTGACTGGCCTGTAGTTCCCCGGATCCTCCTTCCCTTTTTTAAAGGTGGGCACTACATTAGCCTTTTTCCAGTCGTCTGGGACTTTCCTGGATCGCCATGAGTTTTCAAAAGTAATGGCCAATGGCTTTGCAATCACATCCGACAACTCCTTTAGCACTCTCAGATGCAGCGCATCTGGCCCTGTGGACTTGTGTCCGTCCAGCTTTTCTAAATAGTCCCGAACCACTTCTTTCTCCACAGAGGGCTGGTCACCTCCTCCCCATTCTGTGCTGCCTAGTGCAGTAGTCTGGGAGCTGACCTTGTTCGTGAAGACAGAGGCAAAAAAAGCATTGAGTACATTAGCTTTTTCCACATCCTCTGTCATTAGGTTGCCTCCCTCATTCAGTAAGGGGCCTACTCTTTCCTTGAGTTTCTTCTTGTTGCTAACATACCTGAAGAAACCCTTCTTGTTATTCTTAACATCTCTTGCTAGCTGCAACTCCAGGTGTGATTTGGCCTTCCTGATTTCACTCCTGCATGCCCAAGCAATATTTTTATACTCTTCCCTGGTCATTTGTCTAATCTTCCACTTCTTGTAAGCTTCTTTTTTGTGTTCAAGATCAGCAAGGATTTCACTGTTAAGCCAAGCTGGTCGCCTGCCATATTTTCTATTCTTTCTAGACATCGGGATGGTTTGTCCCTGTAACCTCAATAAGGATTCTTTAATATACAGCCAGCTCTCCTGGACTCCTTTCCCCATCATGTTATTCTCCCATGGGATCCTGCCCATCAGTTCCCTGAGGGAGTCAAAGTCTGCTTTTCTGAAGTCCAGGGTCCGTATTCTGCTGCTCTCCTTTCTTCCCTGTGGCAGGATCCTGAACTCTACCATCTCATGGTCACTGCCTCCCAGGTCTGACGGCCAGATTCTCCAACATCCTCTGCTGCTTTCCTAGAACCATCAGGATGTAACTGTAGCCACTGGAATCAACCCCCCTACAATGTGATATTTTATAACCCTGCCCCAAGTCACCACTCTCTTACCAGAGTTCTCATGTGCCACAATAACCTTCCCTGTAGTGTGAAGAGGCAGCTACCAGGACGCAGACAGCCATGCATAGGGTAAAATGTCCCTCTTTCTGTCTTTCAAGAGCTGGAGAGTTTGGCAGATGTGGAAAGTCCTGCCATAGTCACCTGTGCACAGAAAGGTAAATTCTATTCTGAATGAGTTAAGCAAGCAGGAAGAAGGATTGCACCAAATCCTTTTTCTAGCAAACATACTTAACAGTGACAGTAGTCATTTTATACCCTTCTTTTCTCACTGTTCTTCTCTCTTTAAAACCTCTTGTGCCCCAAACCATATACTGATATTTACACTTTAAACCGATCTATTGGATTATTAGATACATCTATTTTGCAAATGGAGGAATAGATTGGAGATCTCTAAATCAGTGCAAATCAATCCGAAGTTCTGTCCATTAATCTGCTCAACAGTCAAATTTAGCTCTTGTATGAGATGCAAGTGGGTAATTACCGCATACTCACATATGGAATCAGTAGTAAGATACCCAGCTCGAGACAAATGTGCCAGCATTGTTCCTGCCTCATCATCAAATCAACCTCAGTTATGCATGCAGAAACAGGAGTCTCATCCTTAAGAAGATACTGATAAATTAGCCACTAATCTTGCATTAAACAGTATGAAGAAAAGAACTGATCATAGACATTTTCAAAAGTAAAAATAATAAATGCAAATGAGACTAAACATCTCAGTCTTGGTTTATGCCAAATAATGGGCAGGAGGAGACAGGGCAAAGCAAAAGTGCACATTACCTCAAGGACTGAGCACTCAAGCCCCAACAACCAATCCTTTGCAGGTCCTCCATATCTTCATTATACAGCCAGCAGCATTTTCAACCTTTTTGCATACCCTAAGGTAATAAAATAAGGAAGGTAGCTTCCCAAATAAGAACCTTCCCTCGGTCAAGCCAGAGACCACCTGAAAAAAAACACTCCTATTCTCCAAAGGACTACCAAATTCCCTTCTACAAACTTTTCCCACGACCCCCTGGATCTTACAATACCACAGATAATTAACACCCTTTGATGTTACAAATTAACACCCCAGCCTTCCTAATTATTAATATCAATTTATATTAGAGTAGAGGGTAGAGCCCCTACCCAGGGATCAAGGTCCCACTGTCCTAGACACTGTATCAATATGATCCCCGCCTCAAAGAGCATCCAGCTAAACAGGTCTCTTGTCTCATGTGGGTGAGCTAATGCTACCCCTCTATAGCCTGTCTGTCACTTGGATCAGAATTATAGCCAAGAAGTAGAGAGAGAACCATAACAACTTGTCTCCCTGGACCTCTTCCATCCAAGAAGAGGTAATATGATCTGACCATATTCAGCATGTCAATTAATTTGAAAATAGTCTCTTGTCTGCTCTCACTTAAATACTTGACCTGAATGATTGCAGGTCATCAGTTGGAAAGCTGGTGCAACTGAAACTTGGTTAATACATAGCCTAAGTACACAGTAACTTTTTTTTGGACAGTATCTTTTTAACAAGTACATATATGCCCCACTCAGGTATTTAGTACAAAGTCCATGCACATTTAAAGAGTCCCCTTCTCTAACACATTCATCATTGTATCTTAATCCCTAGCAACAATATTATACACTGAACAGCCAATAATGTGTGTGCATTTCAACATACCTGCATTCATCAACAGTATTTGTTTCCATTGTCTTCTCAATGAAAATGGAGACACAATATTTTGCGTGAACTTCTCAAATAAGTTACCATGAAACTGATGCTGAGCCTGGAAAAAATCAGCTCAAAAGGTCTTCCAAAGTTATGAACACCTGAAAAGTGGAGCAACAAGGTGGGTGAGGTAATAGCTTTTATTGGCCCAACTTCTATTGGTGAGAGAGACAAGCTTTCAAGCTAAACAGGGCTCTTCTTCAGGAGTTGATTACGGAAACTGTTTTGCAGCCTCATAGCAGTTCTCAGTAGGGGGCCAGTCTAAGAAATTGATTTTATCCTATCTGGATGAGGGAAGACATGGTAAATAATTGTGTACACAAGCAGGGTCATACAGTAGGACATACAAAAGTATGTCTTAATCAGTCTCAATGATTCAGAAAACAAATTGATCCCAGCCAAGTCTTCCCTCTCATCTTTCAAACTGTAGAAAACCTTTCAGAGGCCAATTGGGCATTCTGCTTAAAGATATGATGACACAATATAGCTCCAAGCGTGCTTATTTCCTCAACCTCTGGGTAGCGTGCTGCTCTATCACCATTATTTTTAAATTCAGTGGGTGAAATCCCACTCCTATGGCAAAAACTCCTATTGTCATTGGGGGTAGGATTTCACCAATATTGGTTTTTATTTTTAGGAGCTGTTGGTCACTTTTAAAATAGTTTCCTCTTTATCTCTCTTTCCTTGAGCTATCCGGAAGTTCTGACTGCTGGGTCCTGTATTGTCATTCTCAGAAGGAAAGCCTAGCGCAGGGTTTAGACAGGGCTGTTCTACACTACAAAGTTAGGTCAACTTAACTACATCGCTCAGGCCTGTGAAAAGTTTCATGCTCTGTATGATGTAAACAAGCTGACCTAAACCCCGGGACAGACAACACTAGGTCAATGGAAGAATAATTCTTCCTAGCCTCTTGGAGAGGTGGATTTACTACAGCGATGGAGAAAACACACTTCTGTCTGTAGTAAGTGTCTGCATTGCAGCGGCACAGCTGCCATGTTTCAGCTGTGCACTGTTGTGTTTCATACTCACACTAGCTTCAGGAATAATGGCAAGTTGTCACGTACTAGTAATAAAATACTTCTCATCTCTAATTAATTGTGTCTCTCATTTTCCCTACATAACATAACACCGATGGGATGAGGGAAAGAGATATGAGAAGAGGCAGGTAGCCACATGCATCAAGAATGACTATCAAGTGATTTCTTTAATCCTGTTGTCCCACCCCCTCCTCATTTCATGCTGTAAAACAATATATTGCTAGATTAAGTGCCCACTAAAACCACTTTCATATTTAGAAACCTATTGTCTTATTCCATTCTGTTATCTGTGCACAAAAGTATGTGCATTCATCATAATGACAGCTGAATATTTTATTAACATCCAGCAGAAAGCTATGCTTTTGTCAAAATATTAGTTCACCCAATTAGTGTATGTATATATGGGATCTTAAGCCTCCCACCCCATGGGGAAGGGTACTCATCTCTGCAAAAGGTTGACATGGAAGACTAACAAAAAACTATTTTTACTTCTGGCTTTCTGAAGCTAGATATAAGAACTTTAGAGAGAGGGCTGAAAATGCTGGGTTTTCTGTTTTATGTGGAGTCTGACCCCATGCTCATCACCATGCCTTCCAGACTTGCTCTAAAATGACCTCTGAGCATGCCTAACAGATCAGGCCCACAGGCAAGATAAGCAGAGGAGCACCTAGTTGAGAGTCCCAATGGGTAAGGGCAGGAATTAGATGGGAAACAGCTCAGTGTTGTCAGGGGTGAGGTGGCTTTGAGCAATGCCTACTGGCAGAAATTCAGGCATCTTAGGGAGTTTGGACAGCAGCTGAGCTGCTGCTTTGAGAATCTAAAGTTAGGATTTAGGTACCTAAAGTGGTGGTTAGGCACCTGAGTCATCCTTGTGAATCCCACCCTTGTTTTTCAAGAGTCACACAACTGAAATTTCAGAATAGCAATCTGGTTAAAAAGAAGTTAAGTGGATAATGTCACAGAGCACTCCATTCACTGCAAGGGACCATAATCCTTATGGCCATATCTGGGTATTACCTTCACTCAGGTCTGATGCCCCCTTCTGCTGCTTGATGCACATGCTGCCATCTCTCTTGCTCCCAGTGTACTCTGAGTCACAGAGGGCCAACTCTGGAAGAACAGCCAGGTCACTGTAGTCTTCCCCTTCCAGGGTATCAAACTCTTTTCATACCAATGGTGACAGGTGATCTTTTAATGCACTGTGCTGATGATGCTACTTTCCCCATGATTGGTAGGGGGACCTGGGCCTGCCCCCTAATCCAGTCCAGGGATCCTCTGCCTAGCAACTGTAGTCTGCTTTTCCTCAGACTCTGTTACCGTTTCCTTGGACTCCTTCCTACAGCTTCTGGTTCCCCAATCTGGGTGTACCAACTCAAATTCCCTCCTCAACTGTAGACTGCTGAACTCCATTCCCCCAAAACACCCCTCTTCCCCCCCCCCAGGAGTGACACTAGACTATTTCCTTGCAGGGCCTTTCTGTTGCCAACTTCCTGGCTTCATCCTAGCCCCACCTGTTCTTTCTCAGCTGGGCTCCATCATCATTCAGGGGACTGTTTGGCCACCTAAATCCCATCAGCTATGGCCTATCTGATTAATTGGCTTGTTCTCAGCCTCATTAACCCCTTCCAGTCTGATATGGGGTGAACATCTCACCACAGATAGATAAATAAAAGGAACTTCAGAACCATCAAACCCAAGATCCCTTGATATTGATAAATTGGAGAACTGGCCTATAGAAAGCAAAATGAAATTCAAAGACAAAGCAAGGTGCTACACTTAGGGAAGAAAAAACAAATGGTGAGAATACAGCACTGCTGAGGAGTATTTGGGAGTTTTGGTTGATCACAACCTCAGCAAGTCAATGTAATGCTGTTGCAAAAACCAGCAACTGCAATTTTAAGCTGTATTAACAGAGGCATTGCTTGCAAGTCACAGGAAGTGATAAAACTGCACTACTCTGCACTGGTTAGGCCTCAGCTAGAAGACTGTGTCCAATATTGGTCACCAATTTATAGAAAGGATATGGAGAAACTGGAAAGGATCCAGAGGTGAGTGACAAAGATGACCAAATTAATGGAATGCAAGCCATACGAGCAAAGGCTGAAGGAACCGGGTATTTTTAATTTGGAAAAGAGGGATAGCTCAGTGGTTAGAGCATTGGCCTGCTAAACCCAGAGTTGTGAGTTCAATCCTTGAAGGGGCCATTTAGGGATCTAGGGCAAAAATTGGGGATTGGTCCTGCTTTGAGCAGGGGGTTGGACTAGATGACCTCCTGAGGTCCCTTCCAACCCTGATATTCTGTGAACACAGGAGATTGAGAGAGGGACTTGATAGCATTCTTCAAATACTTGAATGGCTGCCCAAAGAAAGATGGAGAAAAATTGCTGTCTTGCCACTGAGGACAGGACAAGAGGCAATGGGTTCAAACTACAGCATACTAGATTTAGATTAAATCTCAAGAAAAACTTCTTAACTGTAACAATGGAACAGACTGCCGAAGGGAGGTTGTGGAAGTGCCTTCCCTAGAGGCTCTCAAAAGGAGGCTGGATAGCCATCTGTCCTTGATGGCTTAGACACAACAAATCCTGCATCTTCACAAGGGGGTTAGAGTAGATGACCCTTGTGGTCCGCTCTAACTCTGTGGTTCTATGGTCCCCTCCCCTCCATACCCATTAATCCCTGAAGCAGAGAACATGGCAGTTAAAACTCAAAGATTCGGCAGTAAAAATAAATATATTTTATGTCTAATGTTATGCTTTTACATACATATCAAAGCGCCTAAATAAAAATGGACTACATTTCAGAGCTTACATGTTGCTTTTATTTAGATTTTTAGTTAAAGTTTTTTCATCCAGTTTTCTATTCTGCAATTTGTAGGTTCCTGTCTCAACCCACTTTTTAGTTCCTGAGACCAAGGATGGTTGAGGCAAGACTCAGTTCAAGACTTCCAATTATCCCATTGCTGCAAAACTTATGCATGTGCTTAGCTGTATGTACATGAGCAGTACCTGGGAAGTAAACAGAGGGATTCAGACACATAAAATTAAACACATGCATATGCAGTTGCAAGATTAGATAGATACAAAAACTGACTCCCATAAGAAAAATGCACATTCTCACACAAAGTATTTGACCTAGAAGCAAGTTCCTTCAACTGGAGTAAAATGTTCATTTTAAAACTGCTGACATTTACAAAATATTTCTATAGTTTCTTATTTACACACCACAAAATTAATGACATAGCACTTGATTTAACTGAATAAATCAGTAATGAACATTATATTTTTATAGTTTTTAAATATTTTAATTAGGACAGAATGTAAGAAGTGAAATAAGATTTAAATGATCATAGTTTGCTCTTTTAGATTACATATGGGTGCCATTATAAACAGGGCTGGCCCTAGTGGGGTGCAGGGTCTGGGACAAATCAGCCTCCCCACTCTCCTTCTCGCTGTCCGCCCACCCGCTCACCTCCTCACCCACCTGCCCACTCCTCGCCTTCCCGCTAGTCTCCTCACCATCCATCCGGCGGGCACACACACCCCGCTGCTCTCCTCCTTGCCATCTGCCCGCCTCCTTGCCTGCCCCTCGCCGCCCCGTTTGCCTCCTCACCCTGCTTGCCCACCTGCCTCACCTCCCGCCTCCTCACCTGAATATCGGGACAAATGGTGTCCAGATTGTACATAGGTTGGGATGCGGGAAAAAGGACAAACTATTGGGACAGTCCCAATTTTATTGACACGCAGAGCCCCCCAGAGCACAGGGCCCAGAGTGGTCATCCCTATTCACCCTACCCAAGGGACAGCTCTGATTATAAATGTTTATGCAGCCAGTGTAAAGATGAAGAAGGATAGTAGGTCAAAATGTAGGTAAATCCACTATAAGTGTTTTCTTAAAATAATAAACTGTTCCTTAAAGATACTGCAGATAGACTAAACTGTTGCTCCTCAATAATTATTTCAGTAATATCAGTGATAGGTGCTGGTAGGGTTCCAACTCCCTCCTCCCTCTCAGTTCCCAGACACAGTTCTCTGGAAAATAACAGTCCAGTCTGCAGGCAATTC